AGTGCCCAGGATACAGGAGATGCTCAATAAATGCCTGTTCAGTGACCTGAGCTGGGCTCTCAAGGGTGAATAGTTTGAAAGGTAGAATGACTTTTTTGGGAGAAAGACTAGCATGAGGAAAGGCCCGGTGGGGTGGGAGGGTGCAGTGGATTCAGGGAACAGTGACCAGCCTGCTGGTGCCAGAGCCAGGCCTGTGTAAGGCTGTGTACAGCGGATTCTCGTGACTCAAGGTGGTTATGTCCTATCAGACCCTGCAGGCACCCAGTGCAGAACTGCTGCTTCTGGGGGAAATACAGGCCTGGGTTGCCGTCCCCCTCTTCATCAACTGATCACTGCATAACCTTGTTTAATGTGTGTTTCTGCCCACAGTCTGTTGTGGCTGAGGCCTGAAATGTACCCCCCAAACCACGAATGGTCAAGGTTTGGTCTCTGAGGCAGCAGTGTGCAGGGTCAGGGCTTGGAAGTGGGTGAAGCCTGAGCATGCTTACCTCATAGGTGACTCAGACTGCAGCTTGGGGCAGTGGCTTCACTATAAACGGCCCCGCCTCTGGTCACTGCACATAAGCAGCTCTGCTGTCACCCAATCTTGGCCATGCTTCAGCACTGGCCCAGGAACAGAGCCAAGTGCCCATGGGCCATTGAAACTGCGAACCAAAAGAAATCTTTTTCCCATTGAGTTGATTTCTCTCGGGTACTTTGTCACAGCAACAGAAAACTCTTGGTTCTTCCTGTTGATTTCTTAACATTGCACTCATAGCCGGTAGCTCTATATACTCCATGCCTGAACAATGCTAATAAAGAATAAAGCATCTAGAATCTCTTTCACATTGTGCTTGCAGGTTATCAAGATAGTGAAACTACCACAAAAAGCACAGAAAATGAACAGTGTGGCAAAGGCGAACTGAAATTTCTGGCCATTCTGTGTGTGTCCATGAATGGCTACAAATATGAACCATATATTGATTTGGGGGATTATAAGTGTACTTTAGTAAGCAAGAGAATTTGCAAACATGGAACCTATAAACAATGAGGATTGATTGTGGGGGTGGGAGAGAGAGGGAGGGAAGGAGCTGTAAACAGTGGGGACAGCATGCACAAAGCTCTAATGGTGAGAGAGACAAAAGCATCTGGAAAGTGAGAGAAGGGAAGAGGGAGCGGAGGGCACTTCCTGCAGGGCTCTGAGCCCAGGTTGTGGAAGTGGGTCCTTTGCACAGGGCAATGGGGAACCAGGGAAGGACTTTGAGGAGGGCGGTGTCAAAGCCCCTTTGAAGACCCTTTTGCTGAGGGTTGGAAAGTCAGGAAGCCAGTGAGGTCCTGCAGTTGTCCTGGGAGCTAGTGGAACTGGCTTCGGGACCTGCTGGAAGGGAAACAGTGAGGTAGGAAGACCAGAGTCGCCACCGGGCCTCCGGTGCCAGGTGACCTGGGGACTTGCTGGGGCGCGAGCGCGCGGGGTGGAGGTGAGGAGCAGCATCTAGAGGCAGCTGACCGGCGAGCGTGCTTGGGGCTTGGCGGGAGGCTGGAGCTTTCAGGGGATGCGGGAGAGGGTCTTGCCTGGTCTTTCCAGCGCAACCCAGCGCAGCGTCCGCTCTCGATCTGCACCACCAGCCAGTCGTGGAGATGCAGGGGATCTCCGGTTCTCACCACAGTTACCCTGTGGACGGAGACCTCCCGACCTCCTTCCGGCAGGGGTCGCAGGAGGAAGCACAGTGAGCCTCTGGCCAGGTTCGGGACGCCAGGCGGCCCGACCCATTCTCAGTCAGGGGTTCACCTGGAGGGCGCGCACAGGCAACGAAAGAAAAAGTCTCCGGCGGGTTACCCTTACGTTCCTTCTCTTTTCCGGGGAGACCTCCATGGCAGTAGGGCGGAAGGCGTTGGGACCTTGCCGAAGGGCGGGCGGACGATGGTACTTTCCGTAGTACAACCCCTGGGGGAGAGGGCGGGCCTGGGGGCGGGGCTCCCGGAGACAAAATTTACTCCGTTCCTGCACCTGACGTCTGCGCTTCTGCGTTCGCTTAAAATTTCTTGGACTCTCCTTTCCCCTCTCCTCTCCCCACTTTTTTTTTGAGCTGATTTGCGCCCCACGTTACCCAGGCTAGGCTTGGAAGCAATCTTTCGGCCTCAGCCTCCGGAGTAGATGAGAATACACCGCGCAGAGCGGCCGGTCTTCCTTTAAGGACCTGGACTGTGTCAAGAGGTCGGAAAGCACAGTGATTCTCCAACGGACTCCTGTCACGGTTGGGACGTTCGTGACCTCCATCCAGACTGCAGACTCGGACTTCGGGGGCAGGAAGCCCAGGAACCTGAGCTGCTCACGCCCCATTGATTTTCTCCAGCACCAGGAGTTCCTTTTTCCTGCTGCTCGCCTGGTGCTGGGCCTGGCTAAACCCTTCCCTGTAGGGTCTTGGTTTGGTTCTCGCCCCGCTTCGCAGATGAGTATAATTACAGGAGTAAAGCCCTGTAACAAGGCCACAGTCTGGTGGAAGAGCCAGGATCCAAAACTGGGTGTTTCTGTCCTCTAGAGCCCAGAAGCCAAATAAATGTCCAACACTGTGTCCTGACAACTACACTTGGAGCTCATGGGTTCTTGGTGGAGCTTATGATCCCTTGATATTATATATATATATATATATATATATATATTTTTTTTTTTTTTTTTTCATATCTATAGTCAGGCATGGTGGTGCATGCCTATAATCCCAGCACTCTGGAAGGCTGAGGCAGGACAATCACTCCTAGGGAATTTAATGACTTTGTGAGAACCTGTCTCAAAATAAAATTAAAAATGGGCTGAAACTGTAGCTCAATGCAAAGGCCCTGGATTCAATCCCCAGTACTGTCCCCCCCATCTGCATCAGTGCATTTTTCTGGGGTCTGTATCTTTCACTGAATTTTCAGTGGGGATTTATTACATAAAGGATATCAAATAGCTCAGACTGCTCCATCCTTTGCTGTGTACATGGTGAAACTGAGGCTGAGAGAGGAAAAACTATCTCTTTCTGCAGTGGGCAGAGGGCTGGAATGCAGCCAGGACTGACCAGAGGAGGGGAGGTTTTCTGTGTGCTGCTTCTTCCCAGCCCCCGCAGGCCAGCCAGCAGCACTTCCCACGCAGGCTGGGCTGGTGCTAACATGCTGGTGGTGCTCCAGTGGGCCACCAAGCATTTTAGAGGTAGTGTCCCTCGGGGTCCAGGGCCCCCTTTATACTGAAATTCATGGATGCACAAGCCCTTTATTTAAAATGGCACAGCCAGGGATATAGCTCAGCAGCTTAAGCTCCTGCCTGGCAAGTGCAAGGTCCTGAGTTCAATCCTTGATACTGCAAACAGGAAAAAAAAAAAAAAAAAAAAAAAAAAAAAAAAAAAAAAGAAAGTATAAAATGCCACAATATTTGCATATAATCTGTGCATATCTTTCTGCAGACTTGAAATCATTTCTAGATGACTTGTTACACTAAATGACATGTAAATTTTATGTAAACAATTGTTATGCTTTATTGTTTAAGAAATAATGACAAAAACTCTGCAGATTCAGAATAGATGCACTATGATTGAAATAGTTTCTTATCTGAGGTTGGTTGGATTTTTGGATGTAGAATCTGAGACAGACCCTACATCCAAGCAGGAGTTTCCAAACTTCTCTTTATTTTTCTAGGTTGCAGAGGGCAATAGCAAAGTGCACAGATGCAGCCGGGCTGCCTGGGCTCACATTGCAGCCCCACACTTGCTAGCTGCATTCTTGGTTTCCTCGGCTGTTCAGCAACAATACTGCTTTGCAGTATGACCAAGATGCAGATAAGGTTTAGGTAGTGGCTGGAGTGAGCATCCATGAGTGGACTGTATTGTTTAGCTGGAGAGTGGGAAGTTATGCTGGAAGGGCGAGGGAGCATTCTGAAAGGCCAGGACACCAGGCCAAGGGGTTTTGCTTTGGCTATAGATGATGCCCTGGAGAGGTTTCTAAATAGCAAACAAGTGTTTTAACGGGATGAGTGGCAGTACACGGCCTGACAAGGAGGACACAGGCTGCCGGGATTCTGGGGAGCCCAGCCATCTTGGTTTTCACTCTTTGTTCTGCCTTGGGGACTTATCTCTTCCTGTTCTGTCTGCTTGGAATGCTTAGTGAAATGGTCCACTGCCACCAGCTGACCTGTACTTTCTTTGCTTTACCTTGCGGTCTCCACCATCACATCAGCAACACGAAGGTAGAGGTGGTGTTCATTGCTGGAGCTTGTCCCCAGCATGGGACTGGGTGGTGGGGAAGGCTTATTTCACACACACCACCCCCATGTGAGGATCTGTGCTTCCCCATAGCCCTGGCCCAGTGCTTGGTACACAAGGGGAAGCCCATTCTAGTGACTGCTGGGTTACAGCTACTTCAGACATCTCTCAGCATCAATTTAGTTGTAGGAAAACAAGCTTTGATGACCTCTATTCATCCTTGGTGTCAGTTGCTGCCTTGATGGACTGAGCCAGCCTTTAAATACTAGGTCAGAAGGGTCACCACCACTGGCTGGAACTGGCTCCTCCCTGCCCAAAATCTCCAAAGCCAGAAGGCTCTGAGACTTAGACTAAGTTCACACCCAGCCTCCTAGCTGTTTTGTCCTTGAGCTAGTTGCCTGACCTCTCTGCACCTTACCTGGGCTTTCCCCTGAAGATAAAATGCACTCAAACAATAGAAGGCCGAGTGTGGCAATAAAAGGCCAGGGAGGCACTGTGGAACTTGCTGGTCAGCATTTGTGACTAGGAAAGGGGCAGGCATGAGGGAGGAGGTGGGGTGTCTCAAGAGAGAGAAGAGAGGAGGTACTGAGAGGCTTGGTCAGGAGTCCAGGTTCCTAGGCAATGGGGACATGTTCAGATTAGTGCTGGCCCCAGGACTCAACCCCGCAGCTGCCCTACGCCTGGCCTTTGGGGAATGATGAGACATCAGGACAGGCAGCTTCTGGGTCTCTTTAATGTCCTTCAGGTCTATTCACCCCATCCCACCCACCCCACCCACATCAATGTCTCACAGGGTGGAGATTGGGCCTTCCCCAGCCCAGGGACTAAGGCACCAAGTGGCTGCAGCAGGCCAACCAGACACAGACCACAGACGCACGGAGGGCACGGAGGGCGGCACACTACAAATGCGACAAGCAGGGGGTAGGCGAGGGGACAGGCCACAGGGGGCTCCCTCACCCTCAAGCTTGTCCTGGTTGGGGAGGCCCAAAGAGGGGCCACCGATAGAAAGGGGCCTCACTTGCCACCCTTGCGGGATAGACACCGCGGGAGGCAGGAGAAAGTCTGCTTCACACGTGCAAGCAGCGGCAATGGCCGGTGGGTGTCCCGTGGTGCGCGTGGCACCAGGCGCTGCAAGGTCCCCTCTGAGGCGGTTGAGTGCGGGGCTGAGGCGGCCGAGGTCGCTGAACCCTGGCGACAGCGTTTGCACAGCGGCAGCAGCGCACGCACGTCTTCCTCATCACGAAATGGGCTCTCCCCGAAGCGCTCCTCCAGTTGCCGGCGAAGCTGCAGGGACAGAAGCCAGAGGCGAGGGTCAGAAGAGCCCAGTCCTCTTGGTCCTCTCATCCCTTGTTCCAGTCCTGCCAGTTCCCTGCACCATCTGCCCTGAAGTTGGGACCATGCACTGCACTTGGCTCAGGAAAATCTTGGGCCAGGTCTGAATTCATATCAACTGATGTTTTTTTCAGCTAGGAGGAAGGTTGTCTCCCCACTCCCTAACCCAGCCTGACCCCTTGGGCCCCTGCTCCCCCAACTCGGCCCCTTCAAGCCCTTTCTACCCCTACCTTCCGGGAGCTCCCCCAGCCAAACTCTTCAAGCTGCTGCCTAAAGCCTGGGTTGGGGTTGGCGATGGGTCGGGTGGCCTTGATGGCTTCAAGCACTTCTCGCCAGCCTAGCCCCGTCACTGTCATCACATAGGCTGTCACAATGGTGGTGCTGCGGGAGATGCCTGCAAAGCTGGGATCCCACCCCCAGGCTTCAGGTAAGGTCCAGCTGTGCCCCCCAAACCCCCCATCCCCACTCCAGCCCTGCCCCCCAGTTCCAACCACAAGACATCTCCAGGGCCTATCCTCCCAGCCACAGGCCTTGGCCTGAGAGGTTCCCTCTGCCTGGCATTCTGTCTCCCACAGCAAAAGGCTGAGTGAAGCAACCATCATTCACTTAACAAACAACTTCCTTTTTCAGTCATTGAGCATAGTGGGGAATGAAGCAGACATGGTCTCTGCTGTCCTGGGGTTCGAGGTTTGGTTGTGAGAGACAGACACTGACCAGAGTTTCAGGTATGGATAACTGCTTTGAAGATGAGTCTGGGGATGAGAATGTCCACACGGAGGAGGTACTAGTGGGTAGGGGAGGGGGTTAGAGAAGATGTTGTCAAGGAAGTGACATCACCCTGAATCTTGACAGGTAGGTAGGGAGTACTCAAGAGTGAGTGTACAAAGATCGTGAGAGGAAAGCCTGAGAGATTTAAGAATGGGGAGGAGGTTAGTGCGGCTAAGGCTGGGGGAAGGAAGGGAATGGGGGACACCAGAATGGAGAAGCTGGACCTCAGTAAGGTTCCAACAGGGCCGGCAGAGCCTGGCATATGATAAGTGCCTGGTTAGATGTTTAGGGATGGATGGCATCTGCTGGGCCAGGGAATCTGAGAAGACTCAGGTTCCAACTCCCAGCGCAGGTTCCCCACTGCCCTGTACCCTGGCCTATTCTCCCATTTTACAGATGAGAAAATTGACTCTCAAGGAGAAATAGCTGCTGGGTCATGGACACCCAGCTAGTAACTGACAGGACCTTGGCATGAGCCTCTGGTTGGCCATGAAGGATGCTTGGTGGGCTGTCACCACCATGGTGGGGTGGAGGAGCTCTCTCTAGGACAGAGGACAGCCCTCATCGTCCACCTGTACCTATCACTCACCAGTGCACAAGGCAGTTCCCTCCGTTGAGGCGGCAGCAGTGGATGAAGTTGATGCATTCTCTAAAGTGCTTTTTGCTAGAGGAAAAAAAAAATAAAGTAGGGAACCCTGGAGGGTAGGGCTTTTAGGAGGTGTCCCTTCCCCATTTATAAGCTAGCAAGGGACAAAGAGCCCTGGGGTACTGGGTGTGGTAGAGCCTGTAATCTCAGCTACTCCAGGAGGCTGAGCCAAGATTTCAAGTTTGAGCTTGCCTGGACAATTTAGGGAGACCTTGTCTCAAAACAAAAATTTAAAAACTTCTGGGGACATAGTTGAGTGGTAGAGCATTTGCCTAGCATGTTCCAATCACATGTATATATATTTTAAAAAAGCTCTGGATCCTCAGGGCAGCCAGTACATGCAGTGAAAAGGGCCAGTGCTACAACACGAGGTCAGGTGGGTGGGAGGCAGCAGGGGTGGCGTTTCAGGTGGGGAGAGGCAAACCTCACCATCTGGCAGAACAGCTTCCCAAGGGTCCTGAGGATTGTTTGTTTTATTGGGGGGATAGATAGGGACTTATTATGTAATCCAGGCTAAAGTATGTACCTGAGGCTGGGCTCAAGCTCATCATTATGGTTTATATCTAGATGTCCCCCCAAAACGCCATGTGTTGATTACAGGGGCTTTGGGGAGGTGACTGGATCACTGTGACACAATGCTATCCATGGCTTAGTCCACTGCTAACTGTAAGGTTGGGAGTTGAAGCCTGGCTGGAGGAAGTGGGTCGGGGGAGGCATGGCCTGAGGGGTCTACCTCCCCACCTCCTTGATCTAACTCTTGCCACCATGCCACGAGCTGTTTCTCCTCTGCCTTTTCCTCTGCCATGCCTTGGAGCTAAGACTGTGGACTGAAACCTCCACAAACTGGAAGCCAAAATAAACCTCTCTTTCTTTAAATAGTGGGTGTCAGGTATTGTATCTCAGCAAGCAGAGAGTAACTAAGACACTCATGATTCTCCTGCCTCAGCCTCCCAAGTGCTGGGATTGCCTTTCAAGGAAATGGGTGGGAGGAGACACAGATGTCCACTCTTCAGGGGTATGGACTCAGAGCATCTGGCAACAGTGATGGCCAGTGATTGGCTGGGACCAAAACCCCCAAAGGGCAGAGCTAAGTTTAGTGTCATCCCAACCTGGGGGCACTGACACTGAGATATAAATGACAGTCCTCTGTTTTGGGGGCCCCTGCTATATACCAGGCCTGGCCCTAGATCCTCAGCCTGTGTCATCTGATCTTTGAAAGCCTCTTGGCCTCTGATCACACCCCTGTTTTACAGATGAGGCTCAGAAGAGGGAAGTGATTTGTCCAAGGTCACACAACAATAAATGGCAAGCCTGGCCGGGAGCCAACTGTCTTCACTCCAAGGCCAAGAACAAGCTGAGCTCAACCCTTTCATGTCTGCTGGTGCACCTGATCCCAGGAGTTATTTCATAGCTGAGACTGATGTTCCGAGGCTCAGTCTGGGCCAGGGACATAACAAACACAAGGGCATGGTTGAGATGGAATCAAACCTGGGTCTGGGTGCCCTGGGACAGCTTTGGCCTGAGTGTTTCCAGTCCCCCCCCCCACTGTGGGAGGCAGCTGTCTGTCCATCTGTTGGTCCATCTTAGGGAACTTACATGAGTACCTCAGGGGTATCGGCCACTGGGATGCGAAGGTAGGTGATATCCTGCAAGTATAAGACACATTCAGGCAGGGGGCATTGCCTGCACCCTGTTTCACCCCAGACTGAGCTGCTCAAGCGCCATGAGACCCCAGCCCAGTTCCTGTGCCTCTCTGGGCCACTGTTGTCTTTCTGTTCAGAGAAAACTGACATTGTCTCTATGGGCAAGCCTCTGCATGGATGATGTCCTGACTCCCATAGGTTACTTTACAAGAAGGGACCTAGGAAACTTCTTCAAGTGGCTCCTTTCCAAGTGGGAATTACAGAATTACATAGCAAAAAATGCAAAGCAGATTTGATTACCTTGAAAAGTAAATTTGACAAAATCAAGTCTGCATTTTATGAGTTATGGCTAGAAAACCACTGCTATTTCTTAGAATAGTGGAGGAATAAGTTGTGCATAATTTTTCCAACATGTGTACTGTGATGTCCTTTGCTCTTACCTAACTGCCACCCAATATTGTAAAAGATTATTTTTGATCACGTTCCAAGGACCTCACTGACTTTTCTCAAGGACCTTCCTTTCTTGACACATTGATATTTTATATAACCTTTTCCTAGCACTGGGCATGGCTGAGGGGCCACCAGCCAGGTCCTCATTTGCCCACGGCTTTGCAAGAAGTTCTGGCCCTCCTCTAATGCCTCCTCCCAAGGTCATTAAATCCTGCATCTTTTGCAAGGTTTGCGGTTTCACTTTGCAACACATTTGGCCTTGGCTTTGCATGGCATTATCGAACCCTGACTGCTAAATTCACCTCTGGGTGGGAGGGAGAGATGCTAGGGAGAAGGGAGAGCTATTGGGATAGGGATGCATGCTGCAAGCAGTCCTTTCATTAATGAATATATTAATAACTGTACAGCCCTCCCAATGTAATTTATTTAGAATGAGTACTCTAAATACTCCAAAATGAGGCTGCCCTATTAAGCAAACTCAGATTCCATTGGCTGGAAATTTTCCTCTTGGACACAGAAAGTCACAGATTACTGGAGGTTGCCCTTAGAGACCATCAAATCTAACATATGAAAACATTGAGGGGAAAGGCCCTTACGTACAGTAAGTACATGGCAGAACCTGGCTTTTGTCTCTCCAGAGCCTTGTCCCACCCACCGTTCCTTTGCTTTAGTAGATGACACAGACTTGCAGGTAAGGAGGAAGGAGATCTTGTTTGTGGAGTAAGACTATTTTAACTTTGCTATTTCAGTTGCAATTTGTCGAGCATCTCATAGCTCTTCGAGGTAGGCACTATTATGAAATTCCCATTTGAAAGATCAGGTAACTGAGACTCAGAGGGGAAGAGTCCTACACCCAAGCTTACAAAGAGGGTAAGTGGTGATGATGTGAGATCAGGTCTCCTGATTCTAGCACAGTGACCTGGATCTCCCACTTTCCTTCTCTATTCCCCAGGATTCGGTGACACCAGCACCAGCCCTCCAGGGGGACCAGGCCCAGAGTGCAAAGCTTCTTCACCTTCTTGCAATTCTTTTTCAGCATCATAGCAGCCCCTAGGGGTAGTCAGGTCTGAGGGATCAAAGGCTCAAGAGAGGGGAAGTTACAACAAGACTGCACAGCAAGAAACAACCCATAATCACCTGTTTGGAATCATTCATCCAATTGGGCAATGGGAGGCCCATGTGGGGCACACAGACACACATACAACCCTGGTGCTGGGGACAGAAGTCAGGGTCTTGTTAAGGATCAGTGTGAGACCTCTGGGCCAGATAGCCTGTGTCTACATCCCAGCTGACCAGCTTCCTGGATGTGTGGTCTGGGGAGAGTTCATTTACCTCTCTGGGCCTCAGCTGCTAGATGGGATGATAATGTGAAACAGTCTGGGGCTGAAGAAGGAGTGAGTGCACATGGGTCACGAAGGCAACGCACATGCTAGCACAGAGCCCGTACTTGATCGGTGGGTGCTGCTCAGGTCTACAGCCCACCCTCCCCAGCTGTGCCCCGCCCTGGCATGGGGGCTCTGAGTACCTGCAGCAGAGGCTGGGGTGACTCATGAATAGAGATGATGTGAGTGATCTTATTCCGTCCCAGCTGATCCGGGTCTTTGGCATCTGAAAGAAGCAGGAAGCTTGAGCCAAGCTGGCAGGTGTGACCTAGTCATTCCTGGAGGGAAGTGCAGTGATGGCCCGATGTCCAGCTCTCCTCACCTCCAGGGTACCCACAAGATGCCTCCCAGCATCTCTTGGCTTTGCTCATGGTGTTCTTTCCATGCCAAGCACCCTTCCCAGCACATCCTTTGGCCCAGTCATTCTACTTCTAGGAATCTGGGGACTGCAGAAGGGGCATAGAAAGCTAAATGGAGCCTGGTGTTCAAGTCAAACAACCAAAGCAACCTCATGTCATCAAAAGGGCACTGGGTAACTAACGGTATACCCATACTTTGGAATACTTTGCTGTCATTAAAAAATTCTCCATGTGCTGAAAGGATGTTCACAATAGTTTCAAGTAGGAAACATAAGATAGGTTTCCATTCTGTTTTCAATATCATATCTGTATCTAAGATACAAAAGAAGGGCTCAGGGATATACTGCACAGTGCTATCCACGGTCACCTCTCAGAGCTCAGAGCTGAGTGCATGGAGCTTTTCTAACCAGAAAAATAACACACCAGCTCCTTGTCTCCCTATGTGCATTTCCTCATTCAACAAACATTTCCTGTGGGCTTACTATGTGTAGCCTTCGGCTGGGCGCTGCCAATCCGGGGATAACTCCATGGTGCCTGTCCTCATGGGACCCACACGTTTAAAGAGGATTCAGACCTCACTTAGCCAGACACTCACAATAGCTGGAGCTCCTGAGGTGGCTCCCAGGAAGGAAGGGGCCAAAGGTGAGGAGGGCACAGCACCTGAGCCCTCTGGAGCCTCAGATTCCACAGACTGAAGTGACTTTTCCACCTTGGGTCCCCCAAGCCCCGGACTACCTGTCTCAGCATGTCTTCTACCCAACAGGCAAAGGTCTGTGTTTAGACCTGACTTCTTCTGCTGCTCGCAGGCCCTTGAGGACAAGGACAGGCTAGCTCCACACCTGTGCCCTGCCCCACATCAAAGCTCTGTTGTGGAAAGGACAGGTGTGAAAGGGAAGGCAGGAGCCTGTAGATTCAGAACCCTACAACCAGGCCTCCCAGCTTCTGCCCTCTGAGGCTCTGCTGGGCGAGGGGGTTCAGGAAGGACAGCAATTCCAGAGCCCTCCTATGAGGAAGACGGGAGGGAGCAGAGCTGAACCTTGGGGCCTGAAGAGCCCTAGGGCCTGAGGAGGGCCTTATCCAGAGCAGGTAGCTGAGCTCAGAGCTGATTTGCTCAGGCCTGAGGCGGCACTGTGAGCCCTTGGTGCTGCCCTGTAATGGGACCCAGACAGGGTTGAATGGGGAGGATATCAATGTCAGACCCCTAGTGCTCCCTCCTTGATCCTGCAGGCCCAGGGACACCAATGCCCATGAAACAGCCCTCATCCTCTGTCAGCCCTTTCCCTTCCTGGTGTGGTGTGGCTTTCCTGCTCCAGACCCATTCTTGAGAGCATCTGTGTGCATGGGCCAGAGAAGGAATAGTGGACATGGGCCTGAGCCATAGCCTTGGGACAGAGTGGGCAGTGCTCACCAATGAAGTTTCCGAGGTAGAGTCCAGGAAGAACCTAGAAGAATGACAGGCAGGGGGCCAGTGGTTAGACTGCACCTTTCCTACCCTGGTTGCTGGGCGCTCCCATCCCCTCTGTCTCCTGAAGGGACCTGGGGGAGCAACTGACCTCCTTTCACAGCCCTGAACCCTCTGTGAGAAGGGTCTGGGGAGGGGAAGGAAAGGTGAGCAGATAAGCAAGTTAGCGCCAGGGAGGGACCCAGGGGCCCAGTCCAGGGACAGGTGGGAGGGAGGAGGGGTTCTGAGGCACCCTGAGTGGGGAGAGGAAGTCCTAGGGGAGGAGGGGGCTGGGAGGGGATAGACTGAAGCCGGCAGGTGCAGCTGGGGATGGCCAAGCTGTGAGTCTAAGAGGTCAGAGACTGGGGACAGACAGGCAAGACGGAGACAAGGACTGTCAGGAAAGAGCAAACGGAGTGAAAGACAGCAAGAGATACAGTCAGAGAGGACAGACAGACAGACAGAAGCTGAGATAACGGGCAGCAGCATCCTGGGAAGCTTAGGGGACAGACAGGCGGACCCAGGGCTCACAGCAGAGGGACAGAAGGTCAGAGGCTCAGTCGACCCTGTGTCCCGCCCCCTACCTTGGTCATGCCATTCCCCATGATCTCGGGCCCGGGGAGCTGGGCGCACCCCCTGATCGCAGCCTGGAGAGCGCTCGGGTCGCAGATACCCTGGGAGCCCAGGCCTGGAGCCTGCAGCCTGGCGGGGAACCGGGGACCCAGCGTTTGCGGGCCTGGCCAGCCCAGTGCAGCCACCACTGCCCGCCGACCCCCGGCCGGGCAGCGAGATGATGGAGCCGCCGCCGCCGCCTCCACCGCCGCAGGCTCCGCCTACCCCTTGGTCATGTGCCCCGCCCCCGTGGGTCGTGGCGGGGAGCCGGACAAAGCCCCAGTGTGCCGGGCCCACGGCCCGCAGGACAACGGCAGCTTGTTGCGGCCGCGTGGGGGCCACCTCCGGAATGGGGGCGGGGCGCTCCTCCCACCCTGGCACCGTCAGGCACATGGAATGGGGCATCGTACCCGCTCCTCGGGGCGAGAAGCTCAGACCCCAATTCTGGCTCTGTCTGGACCTCCCTGCCGCCCTGGTGCGAAGCACCAAGCTTATTCTGCTTCGGTTTTCTAGTGAAATGTGATGGAGGCTGGACTTAGATCGCTAAGGGCACTCTGCTCTTCACATCCTGCTTGAGAAAAATAAAGTGGGTAATTTCCTTCTTTTCATCCCCCCACCCATGCAGCCATCTTACCAGCCAGCCTTCTTTCCCTGATCTCTGTGCTTCTATCCCCTACTTACCCACTTAAACTTCCCTATACCCATCCACCCAGCCGGTCACTTTCCCAGCCATCCAACCTTTGGTCTATCTCTTCATCCATTCATCCACCACCCCCATCTATCCACTGATCCATCCATTCATTTATTCATCCCTTCCCTCCCTTCCTTCCTTTCTACATCCATCTATCCTTCCATCCTTCCACCCACCCAGGCATCTTCCCATCACTTTATCAAGTTTGGTCCTTATGAGGAAGATGCCATCTGGAAAGGCTCTCCTGGGACCAGGTATAACTGCAATTAGTGCCCCCAAGAAATCAGAAGTAAATGTGGGGCAAAGGAGGTGTGGAGACTGGGTTAGGAAACTTCAACAGGAGTTAGAGGCAAGAGTACTGGAAGACTGAGGTTAAAGGGCCTGTTCATTTCTGATTTGTTAGGTGACCCTGAGATAGTCCCTTTAGGGGCCCACATGACCCAATCTGTATTTTTCAGGAAGTTGAAGAAAGCCTCTTCTTCCTGGCTACTAGGATCAAGCACGTAGGTACTGACACCATATGCCTGCTCTGGGACTGAACAGCTTTGTTTCTTTAGCTGTCACTTTCGTCCTTCCATCTAAAATAGTAGGTGACTTAAGGGGGGGGGATGTTGGCACAAAACGGGACACAGAGACAAGAATCCATAGAAATGCAGTGTTCAGAGCAAAGGAAAACTTGCATGCTTTTTCTTCCTTGAACTCACAGCACACCTGGAGCTGCCTATCTCAGCTCTGTCACGGACCAGGGGCTTCATAAGCACCAAATCATTCAGCAGGTACTTCCTGAGTCCCTTCCATAAGGAGGTACCAGACATAAAGCCATGGGCAAGTTGCTTCACTTCTCTGGGCTGCAACTTCATCATCTTTAAAAAGGAAAAAACCCCAAAATGTATGGTTCTGTAGTGTGATTGGATGAACAGACATATTCAAAGTGCCTAGGGTAGAGATCAGCACATGGCACATCTTATTAGTATCACTGTCACTACTGTCAAGGGACAACTGACAGAGAGTTAGGAAGTCTGAGTTCTACTTTCCTCAATAGGACTCAGTTTCCACATCTGCAAAAAAGGAAACAAAAAGCCCTACAAGTTCACTAGCTTCCTCTCTCCCTCTTTGCACCTTCCTGGTCACTGGTCTGTGCTCACTCTCTCCAGATGCTCTGCACGCTCTCAGACTCTGCACGCACCATTCTGTCTGCCTGTGATGCTCTTTGTAGCCCTTTCCTGGGCTAACTCTCATTTCCTCCTAGAAAGAAGTCTTTGCTCACTCCAGTTAGTCTTGCCTAGACTCCACTGCTGTTATTGCAATCACTTGTGTGGTTTTCCTTTGGAGAAAAAAAAAATCTTAAACCCAGATGAGGCTACTTCAGTTTATTTACTTTAACTGTGTTGTTTAAATAAAATAAAACATTTCAAATAGACGTGAAATGGTTGAAGTCCCTTTGTCCTCTCCCTGTTTCCTTCACTGTCTTCCCACAGGCAATTACCCTCATGAGCTTGATGTGTATCTTCCAAATTATGTTTTAAAACTTATAAAACATATATCTCTCCAAGAATATAGACCATATTTTCATATACATGTTTATAATTAACATAAGTTATAAAAGCTTAAAAAGCTTATCATTCTTAAACTTTTAAAAATTCATTCAATGGTAGGTTTTTTGGGAGCACCATTTCCAAGTTAATAAAGATCTGGACCATTTTATCACCAGATGGTATTTTATTAGTAGGCTATGTCACACTTTGTTCACTTAGCACTCTTCTAATGGATATTTAGAATTTTTAAAACATTTTCCACTCTTTATTTTATTTTATTTATCTTTTTAATGTGTTTGGTACAGAGTCTCACCACGCAGCTCCTCCTGTGATCCTTCTGTTTTCAGCCTCCCCAGTGCTGGAATTACAGGCATGTGCCATCAGGCCTGGACTCGGTGGCGGGCTCAGTGTGCCTGAGTGCAGGGCAAGCGTGGCATGTGGTGCGGGGGATCGAATCCCGGTTCCTGCGCTTGCCTAATCAGGCACTTAGCCCACTGAGCTATCTCTCCAGCCCAAATTTCCCTGTCTTATAAGGACATCCTTCCACATGTCCCATAGACAGTGCAAAGATTCTTTGAGAAGGTGTTATGGTGCATACCAGCTACAGGTGAAGGGCACCCCATGGGCTGTGCAGCCGTATTCAGTGGGCCTATGGCATCTAGCAGTGAAGTGCTGGGCTATCAAGTGTGTGCATTCTCAACTTGAGGGGCTATCACCAAGTCGCCTTCCAAAGCATCAGTGTACCAGTGATGTGATGTTCCCATGCCTCACTGACACTTGGCCTCACCACGGTATTGCTATGCTTTTATTTTTTTCACAGCTGATATATTTTAAATCATATAATTATTTTAATTTTCATTTCTAGATTGGCTTACTGGCAATTTGAATTTTTCTGTTAAACAATTCTTTTTTTTTAAATTTTTATTTATTTATGTGTGTGTGGGGGCAGCTCAGCCCACCAGGGGGTGGGGCTGGCTGGCATGTGGTGCTGGGGGATTGAACCACAGTCCCTGTGCTTTGCTAAGCTTGTTCTAAGTAGGTTTTAGACCACTGAGCCATCTCTGGTTACCAATTTTTTGAAAAATATACATACACACATCACAGTTTGGGGCCCTTTGTGTGTCTTTTTTTGGTACTGGGGATTGAACCTGGGACCTTGCACTTGCCAAGCAGGTGCTTATGCTGCTGAGCTATATCCTGGGCCCTTGTGTATCTTTTTTACTTAGCACACACATACATGTATTGAACCCAGGAGAGCTATAGTGCTGAGCTACATCACTAGCTCTTTTTTTAAAAAAATGTATTTGTTACAGAGTCTACAGAGTCTCACAACACAGTTAGGACTCGTAGTGATCCTCCTGCTTTTAGACTCCCAAATTCTGGGATTACAGGTGCATGCCACCATGCCTGGTCTCAATTGCTGTCTCAGCGTGCCCCGAGGGCTGCACTCTGGCTAACCAGGCGCTTTAGTCTGCTGAATTATCTGGCCAGCCCTACTAGCTCTTTTATTATTTATTTTAAGTCAGGATCTCATTTACCGCCCAAACTGATCTCAAACTAGCAATCCTGCAGCCTCAGTCTTCCAAGTAGCAGGGATTACAGGTATGTACCACTATTCCAGGCTTATGATGCTTTTAAGGTTTGTGTATGTGTCAGAATTAGAAATTTATTCCTGTTCGTGGTTGAATCTATGTGTATATTGCTACGTATATATTATAAATTATTTATCTCATCATGGACACTGAGTTGTTTCCACTCTGTTGTTAATAATGCTACTATAGCTTATGTGTGTATAATCATTCTTTCAGTGCCTGTTTCAATTCTTTTGGTTATGCATCTTGGGCTTTCTGTGTTTTTGTTCATAGTCTATAATTATCCATTTAATTAACTTGACATATATATTTCTTTACTCATTCAGTCATTCACTAGATAGCATTGGCTATCTGCCAAGTGTCAGCATTATGCTAAGTTCTGAGAACACAGTGGCAAATTAATAAAACCTTTTCTTTCTTAGTGTTCACGGGGAGAGATGTACCTAGAGGAGAGGAATGGGGGTCAGAAAAGGTTTTCCTGAGATAAAATGCAAGTGGAGCTCTGGCAGAGAAGGTGAATGAAACAAGTAAACAGAGCTCCAAGGTTCACAAGGATAGGAGGGCGGGGAATGGGAAAAGAGGGTCAAACCCGCAATTGAAAGGAGGCTGGGGACTAGAATAGGAAGAGCAGCGGGCAAATGGGAGGGCAGGTAAATCAGGCTGGGAAATTGTCAGCGAGGACTTCCAGCCTAGCCTAGCCTTATCTGAACTGCGATGCCAAAGCAGGGAAAGCTAACATATGCAGGGGAGAGATGATCAGATCAGTGTTCGAAAATGTTCTTCAGCGGCAGGGCAGAGAATGAACTGGGATGGATTGGACCTGTGGGCACTAGTAGGTTGATCAGGAGACCACTGCAAGAATGGAGGTGAGTTTTGGAACAGTTAGTTCCAAAGGCTTAGAAAGAGATTGAGAGAGTGCAGAGATGAGGAGCCACGTGACCAAATGACTTCGTGCAGGACCTTTCTTTTCTTTTCTTTCTTTCTTTTTTTTTTTTTTTTTTTTTTTTTTGGTGGAACTGGGGATTGAACTCAGGCCCTTGTACTTACCAGGCAAGCACTTAGCCATCTCCCCAGCCCCAGGACCTTTCTTGAGTAAGGAAACTTGGTAGCATTCTCTTTACTAAGAGAAACCACTTTATAGATGAGGGCTCTTGCATCAAGAAAGCAGCGCTGGGCAGCATCCACCCTCTCTCTATCCAGAAAGGTTTGGCTGGGAGACAAAGACTACGAAACAACGGGAACCTCCAAGTCTCGGGTTCCCAAGATCCTCAGGGGCTTTGGTGGGCGGAGCCTGCATACTCCGCCGAGAGGCGTGTCCTTGGGTCATCCAATCCAAGCGGCATCTAGGCGTCCTTCCGTCGCCTTGGCAACACGATGCACAAACTACCGACGGACTCTGTGGCAGTTTGAATCTGGCCTTGGGGAACTGCGCCATGTCGCGACCAAAGGTAGGAATGGAACAGATCCCGATGCTTCCGTCGTCCTTAGACTGAGGGAGGGAAGCCATGGAGGGATTCAAGAACCTGCCGTGAGAATCCACGCGGAGGGATTACGGCTAAAAGACGAAGAAACGCTAACTCCAGGAAAGATTACAAATTCAGGTGTGCCTGCACCTCCTGTGTCCCATAAGCCCAATCTATTTGGAGGGAAAGTTACAAGGCTGTTGAGATTCCAGGTTGTACCTAGGGGTGTCTGTGATCCCCCTTACCCCCGGAATTTCAGATTTCCTGACTTGGAGAAGCCCATAGTGATGAGTTCATTCCTCCACCTGCCTGCCTAAACACCATCCGTCCATCCCTCCATCCATCCATCCGTCCCTTCATCCATCCATCCGACCATCCAGCCCTTCGTCCATTCATTCATCCTTCATTCATCCATCCATCCACCCATCCATCTCTTCATCAATCCATCCAGACATCTAATTAGTGCTTTTCCAAGCCAAGACCAGTGCGAACCAAAGAGTATAGAAGAATCAGACAAGTCCTTGCCTCCTAAAGCACACAAGCAAACTTCTCATTTTAAGATTAAGAAAAAATGAGACCCAGCGAAAGGAAACGAATTACTCCAGAGGACGGCATCTCCAGCCCCTTCTTATCTTATTTTCTCGCTTCCTATTTCCACCTGCTTCTACGCTCAGGAATAGCGCCTCTATGTCTTTAATTCCTTCTCACAAGGAAAAACGAGTTTGTCTGCCTTCCGAGTGCCTAGAGCTTCATCTTTTACTATGAATCATTATATTCATCCGAAAACTGTCTTGTCTGCTAGGCATCAGGATTTAGTCTGTATTGTTCTTTCCTCTATTCCAGTGCCCAGCTCTGCTCTGACATAGAGTTGATCACTGTTAAATGGCTGTTGCTGAATTCCTCACCTAGTTGTTTATGCCAAAAAAGCAGGAAGGTGTCCTGACTCCCCCATCATCATCTTCCACATCCAATGTCTCCTTTAGCTCTCTTGGTATGCATTGAGCCCGTTCTTCAGATCACCTCTACTCTTCTGCTAAACATGTCCAGTTTTCAGTTAAAATACCATGTAAACACACACATGGGAACACATTACTTTTTTAAAATATTATTATACAAATAAAAAAAAAATCTGCTGCATCAGTCTCTTCCCGTATCAGCTCGACTGACTGACTTTGAAGAGGGAGCAAACTGCAGGATGTTGGGGGATGCACCCTTGGCAGTCTGTACAGTGAATACCAGGGTGTGGCACACTCACTTTGGATAAAAGCAAAAGTAATAGTTGACTTTTGTGACATATATTTTGTTCTTGTTGGGGAGAGGCAAAGGCCATCTATATATAGTATTGGTGTCAGACTTTGGGGTTTCTTTCAAGGAACTCAGGACAATGGGAGCATGAATTTCTTTTATTTTTTTTCTTCACACAAATTTATTGTGTACTTTGTTCTTTCAGGTCTTTGATGAAAATGTCTTACAGGTCAATTAGCTAAAACAGTTTTTTCATAAGATCAACAGAAATTGTGTTTCTCAATAAAATTATGGAAAAAAGAACATCTTGTTCAAAAAAAAAGAGAAAAGATCAACAGAAATTGTAATGCTGGCTTTCATGTGCTGGCATCACAAAGTAAACCAAGCCCGTGAGCCTCCATCTGAAATACCCTCTGTAATCCTGCTTATGTCCTTGTTTTTTCCTTTAAAATTCATACCATCCAGGCTTCATATTCACATTCCTCCCTTCTTTAAACTCTCTGAGGCTTCATTAGCCCAAATAAAAGTATCCTTATTTAAACAATGGGTCTCATACTGGTTGTGGTGGTGCATACCACCATGCTTGGGAGTTCCAGCGCTTGGAAGGCTGAAAGCAAGAAGATCACTATGAGTCTGGGCTGTGTAGTGAGATCCTGTACAAAATGCATTTAAAAAACCTAAAAATAAATCAACATTGGCTCCTTTACTACCAATTTAATTTTTTTCTCTTTATTTTTTAATTTGCATTTCACGAATGGCTAGCGATGTGGAGCATTTTTTCATGTATTTATTCGCTTGTTTAATTTCTTCCTCTGAGAAGCGTGTGTTCATCTCGGATGCCCATTTCTGGATTGGGTCTTTTTTCTCTTTATTTTTTAATTAATTTTGTTGAGAAAGAAATAGCAATGAAACAGTTTCAAAACAGGTTAGTAGGACAGTTACAATAATCAATATATAGCATATTGTTGTCTTCATAGTAGTTATTCAGAGTACAAGATGCAGACATGATACCTTGTCTAAACACTATTAGTACAAATCTTTCTTCTCATTGAACTAAGAGAAGTAGCTGTATATCTATCCTATTTTTTAAAATTATTTATTTATTTGTGTGTGTGTGTGTGTGTGTGGCCAGCTCAGCCCACCAGGGGGCGGGGCTGGCTGGCATGTGGTGCTGGGGGATTGAACCACGGTCCGTGCTTTGCTAAGCTTGTTCTAAGTAGGTGCTTTAGACCACTGAGCCATCTCACCAGCCCTCTATCCTATTTTGTATAAACAGATATATATATACATATATATATATTTTATATATATATGTATATATATGTTTATATTATATATATGTATATATTTTATATATATATATATATATATATACACACACACACACACTACAAAATGGTCCTTCATTTATATCCCCCTTTTTTGTTTAGTTTTGTCAGAGATGGATGTTCTATTGCCATTGAAATATTATAGGTGCATGAATTCAGCAAAATAATCCAATATAGTCCAGTAGCCCATAATAGTAGTGGGTTATCTGCAGAACTGGCAATGTCAGAAGTTGTTGACTTGAGCCTTTTACAGTTCAGCATATTAATATGGCTTTACTTTTTATACCTCATGTTTATGCTTTTCTACTGGATAGCTATGAATTTATTTATTAAGAGATCATTCCAGGATTATCTGTGTGAACCTTCATAAAAATATTCCTAGGGAAAAGAAGGCCAAGGGTCAGAAGGCCATGTGTTCCTGACCTTGATCTCACCTCCTCAAGGTTGCAGTTCCTAAGACATCAGCTCTGAGGCATACTGGGAACCTTCCAAAGGTCAAAGGCAGAAGGAGAAACTGGATCAGGCTAGAAGGAAAGTGGATCTGAAGGAACCAGCTGGTGAGGGGACCAAAGGCCAAGCCCAGTGTGTAAGCTGGGGCAATGGACTGGTTCCCGTATGATGTGCCCACAGGGCAGGAAGTACCTGGTGGCTGCAGCGGAGCTCATGGCCTAGAGCCAGGTATGAAAGAAGCTGGCTGTGGCCTGAGCAAATGTTCTTCCTGACTCAACACCAGCTGGTACCATTCATACCCTCTTTCCACTTTGTTTGAAGCAAATGGGAAACACAATTAAAGTTCTCTACTTGTGGTCCATGAGAACAGCTAATCCATCTCGGAGTCTTTTTCTTTAAAAAAATCATTTTCCAAAAGTCTTATCAACTTGTCTTTTCTGGATGTTGTTTTAGTGGCAGATGAGACTTTTTTTTTCTTAAACCAGGAATAAAACTTAGGACCATGTGCTTGCCAGGCAGGCGCTTGTGCCACTGAGCTCTATCCCTGGTCCCAGATGAGACTTTTTGAGAAGACTTTAACTTAAAATAAAATATGACCAACATCTTTGGAAATGTATACCTAAGCTTAGGGGCAGAGTGGTTGTAAGAGAGATCCCCTCAAAAAACAACAAAAAAGACCAGGTGTTGTATAGTTGATTAGCTGATTCTTGATTTCCCTTGGGAAACAGGTTGATCACCTCGAAAGTAAGAGACTTCAGGGGTTGAAGGAGCAGTGTAGGGAAATTCCTACACTTCCACCTTCCACTGTGCCAGCAATTGGAAATGAGAGCATCCTCTAAAGCTGAACAATTCAGAGGTACCACCCTTAACAAAGGTGTTACTGGAACAACTTTGCCCTTCTGCAGTGGAAGACAGCTGGGAAGCCAGGGACTCTCAGCTTGGGCTCCAGGTGGGAAAAAGTCTGTTCTGAAGACTCCTCGCGCTGAACCAGCAAGTGCTGGGAGGGCTGTGTTTCAGAGGGCATGGTCGCTCCACCTCTTCCCACAGATTTTGCCCTCAGGATCTCTTTCTGTTCATCTGTCACTTATATACTTTGTAATATGCTGTTGTGATTGCAAGCACAACAATATAGGATCCATAATTTATAGGACTATTTCATAGTAATCGCCCAAGTCATACACAAAGACAGTGCAGGAAATCTGAGGGCCTGGATCCTACATCCTGTCCTGCATGAGTCCAGCTAGAGACCTGGAGCCCATGGCAATGCCTCCAACGAGTCCAGCTGGAGGCCGAGAGCCCACAGCCATGTCTCATCCATGTTTCATGGTTCTGCACTGGGAAGGCCCAAAGGTCAGCGGTTCAAGCTAGGAAGTCTGTGCCAGTGGGACTCTGTGCCAGCAGGCTGAGGGATCAGCACTGGAGTCAGGAAGCAACACTCAAGGTAGGAATCAGAGCTCTCCTGAAGAGAACCACAGCCATCCTCAGTGACCATGAGGTCCTGAGCTCCTCCGATGATAACAGCCGTGGGGTCTACATAAGGAAAGTCAGTGAGAGAAGCTTCTCTAGATTGAACAGTGCACACCCCTATGCCCCCAGAGCCAGGAAGCAATGTTCAAAGTAAGGACCAGAGCTCCCCCAAAGTGAACAGTGACAACAAGGTCCCGAGCTCCTTTCACAAGGACAACAGCTGAGTTCATATCAGGAAAGCCAGAGGGTGGGACATAGGCTTCTGGACTGGAACTGTCCTTGTGTTAACGAGGAAAGGGCGGTGACCACCCAGCATAGAAGCTGAAGCAGGTTTAAAAATGGGTGATGTTAAGAAAGGCAAGAAAATTTTTGTACAGAAGTATGCCCAGTGCCACACTGTTGAGAAGGGAGGCAAGCACAAGACTGGGCCAAATCTCCATGGTCTCTTTGGGCAGAAGACAGGTCAGGCTGCTGGATTCTCTTACACAGAGGCCA